TAGGGGGAGAAAGCGGGCTGTATGACACGAGGTAGAGAGACATTACGGCGACGCGCGCAGAAAAGAGAGAGGTGAGTACCTCGAATCTTCCCCCTCGCCCTCCGGGGTGAGGTTGGGGCGGGTGATGGTGCCAAGCATCCTCGTGCAGATGGTGGGGAGGCGGGGGAGGAAGGGCGTGCATGCCCGGGTGTGGGTAGACAGGGTGAGGGGGAAAGCCTGGAAATGAGGGGAAAGGAGGCGGGGCATTGGAAAGCTCAGACGAGTGGAGACTCCGGGTATGAAAAGAGAGAACAGGCGTCTTGAAGCCTGGACTGGCGCGTCATGTTCCAACAGACAGCCGGCAATGGAATGAAGGAAGCTGTGCGCCTGCCTCTGGATGAGGGTTGATATCTAAAACGCCTCGACCCAGGCGTGACAAGGACACAGGAGCCATCACTTTGTACGCAATCTTCCCCTTGCCATCCCCCCATGTCGGAATAAGGCAACGAAACACCCGCCACGGAACAAAAAATGCCCCCCCTTGTACTAATATCAAGACGAAATGTGGGCAGGGTGCGCACGGAGAGGGCCCGCAATCGGACGGTGTGAAAGCAATAGACAGACCCTAATCTACCCACCAGGATGCGGCTTGGGGGGGGGAGGATAATAGGGGTACCCTGCCGGTGGGTAGTACTGTTGGTGGTACTGCTGGTGCTGTTGTTGATAATGCTGCTGCTGTTGTTGCTCATGGTGTCGTTGTTGTTGCTGTTGATTTTGTGGGTGATAGAGCCCCATGTTGTCCATCCTACTTCCTTCATGGGGAGCAGCCGAGGGTCCCGCATTCATTCCGTCTCCTCCACGCCGGTCATGGCCTCCGCCATCTTCTCCATTGCGCATTCTATCTCAATGTGACACGGTGGCTTCAAGACTCTGTGATCTGGTGAATGAAACGGAGCCGTGAGTGCGAATCGCGTTCCCCTTTGTCCTACCATAGCCCTGGTTCGCTCCTCCTCTCCGTTTCCTTACACGCACCGTCTCGACTGACTGCAGAAATGATCTTTTGTGGGAATCGTAGTAACTCAAGCGGGCATTGGCTAGTATGCTCTCTGTTTGCAGAGGTGTATGAAACGTTCAGTAGAACATAATGAGTGGAAACGTCGAAGTTGTCAAATGACCTATTTTCCGAGTATCGCAACCTCAAGCCCTGAGAGAGACGCAAGGGAGGTTTTCCCCGAAATGCAAGGCGCATGTCAGTCACGCGCCTGGCCTAACGCTAGGACCCAACTCTCTACCTGTATAACCTGGAAGAAGGCATCTCGAGGATGTACAGATGACACGCATCTAACGATTTAAGAGTTAGCGCGTCCTCGGGAGACGGAAGTACTCGACTTCCTCTCTGGCACGCACGAGTGGCACCGCTCTGTTACGGGACAAAATACATCCAAAAACACAGCCAAGCATGCATATGACGCCATTATCGACTGGAACAACACGCGTGCATAACATTCCTTAGACAGCTTTACGGCCTTCATTGTTCAAAAGACTGTGACCAGACCAGGAGGAAAATTGACAAATTGATGGATCGTCCGTCGGCTCTTCCGGTCGCTTTTTTCGCTTTTTTAAGGCCGTACGTTTTGTTTTTGAGGGGAGGTGCCCAGCACACTACACCACGCATTTGGCTTTGTTGTACAATGAAAGTGAGAATTTCATGCGCAATTTTTGGAATCGACTGTTCGGCCGATGTTAGAGTATCTCATGGAGCTTTATACACTTACTTAGGAGGGGCATGATGATAGGTTACCTCACGAGCGACAAGGTCCATCGAAAGTTGGGAAATACATACACACGATAAGAACTGTAATGTAATGTTTGAACTAATTTCTTCGTACATAAGCATTTGCAAGTTCCTCATTGTCGTACAAACAAGAAAGGACCCCGCCTATCCCTCTTCCATCTCAACATGCTTGCCCTTGCCCAATGCTCATCGTTGTCATTACAATGAGCGGAGCTCAAGCATAGGGATGAGCAATTTTGCATGCAAAGCGACGTAACATATTCTCATTCAGTCCGCCCAGGCTTGAGTGAGGTCGTGAAGCAGCCACCCTCAGCATTCAGATATGTAGGCCGGCAATTGTGTTATGGGCATCGGTGCACGGAAAAGCGTATGTATGCATCTTCAAGACGTCTCCAGGCGTGGGCAAATGTACATGAATCGCTTCAACTATCTGACCACGCCACTACTTTGCTTGTACGGCCAACAGAAACGGCATCTCAAATAACGCATTTCATAGGTGCACGTTGAATTTCTCTATTCTGCCTTCTTATCATTTACCATGTACATCACAAAGTTTGGTTGGAGTAAATTTCTTTTCTCTTACATGTCTCTGTCGCCTAGCCTTTTGGTATGGGCTCGTGAATGATCGCTTTTGCGTGGGTATTTATGGCCTATTTCATACATTTGCGTAGCAATGTCCCGAGAAAGGACTTTAAAATTGATCTCGGCAAATCTACTTATCCCTTCAGCGGTGTGGTCAACCACATTACATTAAACAGACATATCTTGCATTTTCTGGGAGAGCAATTGTTCCGCTGATATGTCCTTGTCCTCCAGTCCACTATCTTGCTCTATTTCTACCATTTCTGCTGGATCTGTATCGTGTCGAAATTTGTTCAAGATGTCAGGCGGACTTCACGTGTCATAACCTATCCGGCACCAGTGGGTGGCCTGACAGGTCCAGTGCCCCTGTCAGCCCTCTAAGACTATCAAAGACATTTCTCTTATTCGCAATTTACCTCGCAAGCTGAACTCCAAGGCATGAGGATTGTCAAATAGCCTCAAGACGAAGAAACCAAAGATGCGGGCATACGGCGCAGGCGCCCAGTCCGTTCCACTAAAACAGGAAAGGGATGGTTTGGGATTAGAAACAGTAGTAGAGAATGAGGGCAAGGCTGGTCAAGGCAATTTCTGGTGCACTTTTAATCAAGGCTGTCCTTTTCTTGCTACTGTGGAAGTCATGGAAGATTCCCCTTCCTCACCCTGCTGCTTCTCCACTCTCCTGCCGTCCTCACCGTCCTAAAAAAATCCTTTTCCGGCTATTCACGAGACGGATCTCATCCCCCCCGCCGTTGCCGTAATCCACAATCAGACTTGACTTATTGTCAAGCTGCAGAGCTACACAATTTGGAAAGTGACAAGCAAAATCAGTTTTTTTTAAAAAAAAGAACAGAGGCAAGAAAGATCTTCCAACCAAGTAGACAAGACTGCAATTATAGCTCTTCTCTCACCTTCCAGGTCTTTTCTCACATCTTTTAGCTGGCCAATGTACAATTTACCGGGAATTGTTTGAATGTTGACAAGACCGTTTCCCATAGCATTGGTTATATACCCTGCACATATGAACGTAAATCAATAAGAAGGAGAAAGAGGGGAGTGCAATTGAGTAAAATTTGCGATCCGGAAACTAGATAGCTGCACTCTCTGTAGGTGGATTATCTCTTGTTGTGTCCTTGAAAGGCATGTGGGTCTATTTATCTTTATCCCGTCATACTTCCACAACATACCTGTTGTCGACGTGTCAGCGACGAACCTCTTTCCGTGCCAGAAAGTGTTGGAAACCAAGTTCGTTCCCCGTGGCCAACTATTACTGACCAAAACATATCCATATGAATATCCCTCTGGTATTTCTTTTGGTGTTCGGATAGAAAAAAGTGGAAATGAATGTTTCAATAGGTGGGAGGACATGAGTGGAATGAGAGTTCAGACGCCATTCGCAGTGTGAAAAGAATGCCTTTCACAATGGCTATATACTGGCCCTATGCTCCACTCAATTTAAATACAAATAATCTTTCTCGCACCAACTCTTTCTTGCCGTACCTTTTTCTACCGTGCCATGACGGAAGACATTCTCAAGCTCTTCCCAAGAAAGAGTTCGGGCCCTCGTCCTAGTATTGAGGATATTTATTGTCCCTTCTCCGAGACCAACATTGGGAAAAATAGAGATGACGAGGAAGAAGCAGAGAAATTGAAAAATGCCACTGCGACGAAGCATCATGCCTAATTTTGCAAAACGCACTGAGTGAGGATATCAAAGTTGTCGGAGAAGAGCAAGGGGAAAATGAGAGGAATAATTTAGGTGCATCCTTATAGATCGTATATGTATTTCTATGGTTTGAAACGGGTAAAATTCTGTCGGGGACACAAATGGATGAGATTAAAAGCGACGGAGGTAGCCTTCTAGTGTTCTCGGCAGTTGTGGAAACACCGGGTGGGACAAGCTCCGACATGTACGTTTCATGAGAATTACTTGGCCTAACACAGAAGAAATCTATGAGAGTAAATTAAATATTATAAGGGTTGAAGGTCTCGTGGCAGGTATGGAACAAGAGAACGGCGGGTATGGCAAGAGGAGGGATTGCTTGCCGCTGGTATTTGTTTCTACTGGGTAGTAACTGTCTCACGTTCAATTTTGAATTTTCGAATCGTGTCTCTGTGACTACCGGTACAGTCTAAAAGCATCAACCCAAAAGATGGCCTGAGTGTCCAGAACGTGTATCAACATACAAGTCAATACAAACAAGAAGGACTTATTTTTCGTGACTCGTCCTCAAGTGGTGAAACCTTTTTTTTTTCTGTGATTTTTTTTCTGTAAACATTGATTAAAGAGTCCTCCATCGACCAAAAGATGCAGGGCCTTTTTTCACAAGCCTGGAATTTGAAAAAGGGAAAAAAAAGAATAAGAAATCTGGGAAAAGTGTGCTTGCTGATGTAAAGGATTTCATCGGACGAAATCTAATCACTGTAATTATTACAAGGTTGTCAACGAAGCAACAAAGAAAGTGCGTTGACAAATGATTAGTTATAGATTCTCACTCCGCAGGCTCCCGTGTTCTTGAACTTTCCTTTCTCAGGTCTGTCAGTCATCATAGTGTGTAAGGATATTATTCTATTAAGAATATATGATACAGGTTCTCTCAACCATGGGCATGACCGCTGAGGCTACACGTGCCTCTGTCATCACCGTTTGGCACCGCAATCATTTGTGTTCTACAATTGTATAAATGATTGATGGCCTTATGCCTTTTGCTTGGATCCCGTCTTTACCTTTCGCTATTTTTCGTCATTTCCCCTTTACTAATCTTAGTGAATAATTGAGGACTCTACCTTTCTTCCTTCGCTTTTCTTCCTCATTTCCTGCTGAGGCTTTCAGTGAGTTAGTATTCTATGGAGAGAGTCAAAAAACAATGCGATGGTCGGTTTATGTGCTAAGGTATGCGATGAAGGAAAGGATGCGGCACAAAGCCGTAAAAGCATCGTCGCACCACGTCATCAAAATACATCCATCCTAATTAGAGTAAATTATCAGCCGCAAGATCTGATGCCGAAAATAAGTTGTGATTGAGTAAAATATTTTTAAACTAGTTTATAGGATGTCATTTACATACATGGCATATACAGGGTCGGACATGGGATCTGTGTTGCAGCGATAGTTCACGAGAAAAAGAAGATTAAAGCAAAGACTCGCATCAATTTTTCTGCTGCTGAAGTTGCTAGTCGAAAGGAAGTAGCGGAGCAAAACTGCAAACGGCTTGTATGGAATACAATTTATTCCTTCCCTTGTGCGTGGGTGTTGGTTTGGTTACGGCCATTTGTTTTGCGTTGGCAAAATTAATGCAAAGAAAAAAAAGGGGGACTAGAACACCACGTACTTCCATACAAAGCATCAGAGAAATGCCCGCCATGTCAACGTACTTCACGCACATAATTTCCACTTCGTACTCCCTCCTTCTACCATCCAACAAATGCCGTGTAAAGGACGCCCCACCATCCAAAAGACTCGCCAGAAGGTTTTGTGAGAGTGCGGGGTGTCTTTTTTTAGCGGATCTGGCGAAGGACCCATTCAGTTTTCAAGTCAACTCGCTCTCCGCAGCAGACGACAGAGATCAGGAAGCTCAATAGTAGTCATCGTGCCCCACGTACCCTGGCGTCTTGGCCTGTACCGGCACGCACACACGCCTCCTGGCGAGACGCGGGATTGTGTACATGTTCTTGTATGGTGTGCGAGGGTACATGGGTGGGAATGTTGGGAAATTGAAGGCAGAAGTCAAAGGGTT